ACAACGATTTCAGTTCTCACAGGTATGAGGACAGCCACAGTCACCTCTTGCATTGTAATTTATTGCGAACAGGCTTCAGTGATGTTATCAAGTGTGTTTCTTTGTAATATGATACAGAATGCACATAGCTTTTGGCAAGTCGTCAAATGAATTCATGTTTTAGGTGTATGGTCCAGATACAACTCAAGGAGAGATATTTGATGGAACAACCAAAAGCCTTGTGAAAGAAGTCTTGGATGGAGGAAATTCTTTGATCTTTACGTATGGAGTTACTAATGCTGGGAAGACATTTACTTTTCTTGGTAAGAATTTTGTATGAGGTGTTTGTTTTAATTATATATTGCACTTTAATTATGTATTGTATATATAGCTGTCTAATAGTCCATTTTTATGTCTACTTTTATGTTGTAGGCCCTGATTCAGATTGTGGAATTCTGCCCAGGTCATTAAATGTGATCTTTAAGAGTATAGAAGGCAGAATTTATCCTCAAAATAGCATTAAGCCTCACAGATGTGTCGACTTTATGAAACTCACTGAAGAGCAGCAAGATGACGAAGCTACATATAAGAGAAACCTTCTTCGACGATTTAAAGATGTAAATTATTTTTTATATATATATTAATTTTTTTAACTGTAAATTGTTGTTTTTTTTTAGCACGGAGAAGTACATTACTAATACTTACATCATAGCTGTTTCTTTGTTTATTAGATTGACCCCCGGAAAACTCTGTCTAGCATGTCCAGCTCCAGCTGTTCATTATTTGAAAGTAGGCAATGTCTTTCACTCTGCCTTTAAAATAGTTTATGAACATTCTGATCGTCAATATGAGCATAAACACTTGACAAACATTGATTGTTTTATTTATTTATTTATTTATTTATTTGTTCCAGGCTCCACCTTTAGTGACACAAATAGGGACAGTGTCTGTTTGGATGACACCTCTCGTGTTAAATTCTCTGTGTGGGTCTCCTTTTGTGAAATCTACAATGAAAACATCCATGATCT